GTCATCCAAATATTGTATGTAGATACTTCAATGCTATCGGTATAGGTTCTGTAGACTGTTTAATCCTTCCTTAAGCAACAGGAGACAAATAGTTCAAAATCAACAAACGGAATCTGAACCCTGCGATAAACTGTGGAGTTCCCAAGGTAGTATCCTGGGCCCTTTTTTTCATATGCTTGTCTAAGATTTGCTATCAGTGTCAAGTGCAAACTCCTACTGTATGCAGATGACAGTGCTTGTTAGTGACAGGTAAAGACCAAAAGATATTGCTAATGTGTTAACACTGAAACTGGAGTCCTGCAGCAAATGGGTAGTAGACACAAGACTATCATTACCCCTAGGGAAAATGAAGCCATTCTCTTTACACGTAAACATTAAAATGAGGAAAGGTAAATAATTTTAAAGTTCGTGTAATGGGGAGCCATCACTTTGGTTTCTCAGTAAAATATGGAATCCCCTTTGACCATGCATGTCAGGAAGGAAGTGATAGGGAACGTGTAGTAAAGAAAGCGAATGCCCCAGATGAAGTTCTGTTAGACAAGCACAGTGTCTACCTACTGCGGCTCGCAGGACCTATGTCTAGCCCTTATACAATGCCATATGGATTCGCTTGCTCTTCAGGGTACTCTGCTTGACAAAAAAAAACTGAAGATAGACTGCAATCACCAGAAACAAAATCGTAAGATTCATCCTGGGGAGGGGAACCAAGAGAAATGTAGGCGGGAGGAAATTTAAACAGCAGTTGGATATTGTGGAATGTTGAAAACAGAGTAAAACAACTGATGCTAAATCATGTTTATAAAATTGTCACAAACAGTGTCCAGTATATCTTGCTGTCAATTTTGTCAGGTTGGGAACCAAAGCAATCATTAGTACTAGGGGGAGAGAGCACAACTATGTAGTACCCACAGTCAGGGCCAGGCGTCAAACACTTTTATTGTACAGCAATAAAGGAATGGAAACAGATGCCCGCACATGTCAAAGCAGTCATAGGATGAACCAGTTCAAGAAGGCGCCGCCAAAAGGGAGTGGTGAAATGTAGCTACAGAAAGGGATGGGAAATGATTTTTAATTTTTTAGCTAACATACATGTAAATTTTTTACCTTATTCCTAGTAATGACCTCGTATTATAGATAGTCTTAATGACCCTCGTATTGTAGTTTAGTCTTAATGGACCCTCGTATTGTAGGATAGTCTTAATGACGCCCTCGTGTAGTAGATAGTCTTAATGACCCTGTGTAGTTAGCTAAGTCGTAATGACCCTCGTGTTGTAGATTGTCTTAATGACCCTAGTGTAGTAGTAGTCTTAATGACCCTCGTGTAGTAGTTGGTCTTTTTAGTCTGATAATAAGATGTTTCTTCATGGTAGAATAATAAGAAAATATTATAACCTTTATATTATAATAATAAGGTAAAAGGACCCCAATGGAAATAAGTCACTCTGTCTGACTTTTTTGGGTTATCCCAGGTTCTCTACACATATGCTGCTATGTATGATAATTCTATGTAACTGTATTTGTGTATACCTGAATAAATTACTTACTTACTAACATTACTTACTATGAATGTAAAGAAGCATGTTAAAGTAAGCTATTTATTCTATTGGAATTTATTCTTCTTTCTTCTTCTTTCAACAAACTGACTGTATCCCCCCGAAGCAGCGTGCCCTAAAATGAAAAACAAAAGTTTTCTTTTTTTTAACTTGTGTACATTTTTTTTTTTTTTTCAACAAGTAGGCTGTCTCCACCAGGCAGGAGTGACTTACGAGGCAGAGGTGACCCACCGGAGGCAGGGTGACCCCAACGAGGCTGGGTGGACCACAAAGGCATGGTGACCACGAGGCAGGGTGGTGACGCCTGGACGGAGGCGCAGGGTGTCCACCGAGGCGCAGGGTGACCCAAAAATAAAGAAAATCCCAAATAAGAAATTACTTTCATCATCATTCAACACTTTCACCACACTTCAAAATTTTCGCTGTTTTTGCACGAGGTGCTCAGGAACACAAACATTTTTAAGAAGCTTATACTTCATGAAGATACACAACATATCCCTCCAACTGCTATTATCCTGAACCCCTCCTTTTGAGTGCAGCATTGTACTTCCATTTACAGGACTCAGTCCGGCAATATCTAAAATACCAGTTTCCCTGAATCCCTTCACTAATATTACTGTCACATCCAAAGATCGTCAGGTCCCAAATCATTCGTCTCCATTCATCCTATCTAAACGCTCATACCGCTGCTGGAAAGTCCAAGCCTGTATACAGGATAAGGGCTTTGTGGCCCCTTGCTCCCGCCATTTTAGACGCCTTTACAACACACATGGCTTGCAGAGGAAGAATTCTTTTTCCGCTCTCATGGAGGGGATTATTCAATATTTAAAAAAGTGTATACAGGTGACAGGGACAAGAAAGTGGTTAAGTAGTAAGTACGTTTATTTAAGTCATGTTCACAAAAGTACAGCTAGCATACATAGGGTAAACAACCCAGGGATAACCCAAGAAGTAACACAGCGTGGCTTATTTTCATGGGGTCTTTAGGATAATGCCTAGTTTTTGAAATCGGCATCAGGCAGGAGAGATAACATGCTTATATACCCTTGGAAATAATCTAGAGGAATTACAGTAGTACCAAACTTGCACACGGAAAATCGACTCTAGCACGTTAAGAGAACACATATGTGTCAAACTGCTCTCCCAGCATACATAAGGTGGGATTACCGAATAGACCCCTGGCTGTCTTAAGCTGGCACTGGACAGGCACATAAAGTCGGTACCTGACCAGACGGGCTGTTGTGGTTTCATAACGTTGGAGAGTTAGCTTGCGGCCTGCAGTATCGCTAGCCGTGCAGGGGTTGGATGCGGTAATGGTGCTCCCTGTGTTCCACCTGAGGGCCTGGTCACAGACCATGGGCATGGGGGGGGGGAGGGTGTTGGACCCCCGAACTCTCTCCTAGTATAAATATAGGGCAGATATTATTAAGGTTCATTTTTTTCCAACAGAAGTCGGTACGTCTCCCACGAGGCAGGGTGGCCCCGAGGCAGGGTGGCCCGCACGAGGACAGGGTGACCCCAAGGCAGGGGTGACCCTCCGAGGCAGGAGAGTACCACCGAGGCAGGGTGACGCAAAAGAGAAAAGGAAAGATCCCCAAAAGAAAGAAAATACTTTTCATCGATCATTAAATCAGCTTTCACCTCAACCTCACAGCGATACTCTTTTTAAAATTGGACAGTAATTTTAATGATGACAACGTGGACCATCCATTAAATGGTTAAACATTTAATATTATATATGGAATCCTCTGGTTAGTTGATGTTTCAGGCAAGCTAAAACTAGAACGTTGTGCAATAACAAAAAGGCACCATACCGTGACTGGAATCGATACACAAATAACCCGCACATTAAAGAGAGAAGAAGCTTACGACGACGATTCGGTCTACTTGGACCATTTACAAAGTACACTACTAGAAGTGAACAGGACGGCTATAATATTAGGCTGGAAGAGGGGGTGGTGAGTAGTAGTAGTAGTAGTAAGTGTAGTTAGTAGTAGTTCATGAAATGGTAGAATAATATGACAAGATGAATTGAGACACTTGGTTAGTGTGACTTGTAACATGGTCCAAGTCGGGACCGTATGTCGTACAGCTAGGATAAGCCTACAGCTAAGTTAACCCAGTAAAGATAGGATAAGCAGTACGCTATATTAAGCCAGTAAAGCTAGGTTATGCTTGTAAAGCCAGGTTAAGCCTGTGCAGCTAAGTTAAGCCAGTGAAAATAGGCTAAGCCAGTGTTGTTACAACTTGTCTGGGTTATTGCAACACACCACAAGGACGCCAGCTACATTTCACCGCTTGTATTTTCTTTTGGTTAAATTACTCTTCGTGGCGGCAGTCGTAAATGTAATATTATTTGCTGATCAACTTCATATTATGCTGGTATAACTTGGGAGACAGCCATGGAGGTTGTTTTAGGGGTCAGCGCCCCCCTGGCACGGTCCATGATCAGGCCTGGTGGTGTATCAGGGACTGATCAACCAGGTTGTTATATTTGTAATACTATTAATAATAACAATAATAATGAAAGGCGACGCTCTCGCTGTACACACTGAGTGTCCGTGGTTCAATCTCCGGCACAGGTGGAAATATTGGGCGTGTGTCTTTACACCTGCTGTCAGTGTTCACCTAGCAGTAAGTAGGTACCTGGGTGTTAGTCACCTTACACCTGCTGTCAGTGTTCACCCAGCAGTAAGTAGGTACCTGGGTGTTAGTCAGCCTACACTTGCTGTCAGTGTTCACCTAGCAGTAAGTAGGTACCTGGGTGTTAGTGGAATGGTGGGGGTGGCATCCTGGGGGACAGTCCTCAATGATGCACTGACTTTATTGGGTTATCCTGAGTGGCTGACCCTCTGGGGGTTAAAAATCCCAACAAAATCTTATCTCTTATCTTAATAATCTTTTATTTCTACCAGTACATGATACAACTTATACAGACCATAGCTGACATCAGTGACATACTACTATATAGAAAGTCCCTTGTTATGCTGAGCATTTCCCTCAACTTAGGTTAATTTTTATACCCAGGATGCCACCCACACCATTCAGAAAATAAACTGAAATTAATGTGATTTAGAAGGAATGCAAATTTCAACACTGGAGGAAAGGAGGGATAGGGGGGACATGATAACGACATATAAAATACTGAGAGGAATCGACGAGGTTTACAGAGACAGGATGTTCCAGAGGTGGGACACAGCAACAAGGGGTCACAGTTGGAAGTTGAAGGTTCAGATGACTCACAGGGATGTTAGGAAGTACTTCTTCAGTCACAGAGATGTTCAGGAAGTGGAAAAACATAGTCTGGAAAAAGTGAGTAGTGGAGGCAGGATCTGTACATAGCTTTAAGAAGTATGATAAAAGCTCATGGAGCAGGGAGAGAGTGGCAACCAGTGAAGAGGTGGGGCCAGGAGCTCTGACTTGCAACCACAGTTAGGTGAGTACACACACATACACATGTTAATGTGTTATATACGTGAGTTTGTTCCTAACGTGTGTTTGTTCACAGGTAAAGCACTCAATGAGAGGAAGGCGGAGGTGAGGATCCAATACCGTGAGGTGGCCGGGGACATCTTCCACAACCAGAGCAAGAGGAACGAACTTGTTATCCGTGTCCAGCCTGGAGAAGCCATTTACTGCAAGGTCAGTGTGGGGAGAAGCCATTTTATTGCAAGTCCAGTGTGCGAGAAACCTTTTATTGCAAGGTCAGTGTGGTGATAAAGGCCAATTTATTGCAAAGTCTCAGTGGGAGAAGACTGGTTCACCTTATAAGTCAGACGTTCTTCCACTAGGGAGGCCCCACTCACATCTAACCACACCTTCTACCACTACATGATGCCAATTCTTCCGCTGGTTCCCATAAAGACTCCATTCACAAATCTACAATATTAAAATTTACAAAGCTGCAGGTGTGGGGCAATATATTTCTCTCAACAAAGATACCCAGGTATTGCACGTGTTTTATGTCTCAGCTATTCTAACTTTGATCTAATTTTATCTTATTTTGTGACTGAAGGTGTTTTGCAAAAATATTAACTTTAGCAATCCTAGTAAAAGGAGTATAGTAAGTTTATTTAGGTACAAGTACAGTGGACCCCTGCTTTACGATCAGCTCCCAATGCGACCAATTATGTAAGTGTATTTATGTAAGTGAGTTTGTACGTGTATGTTTGGGGGTCTGAAATGGACTAATCTAATTCACAATATTCCTTATGAGAACAAATTCGTTCAGTACTGGCACCTGAACATACTTCTGGAATGCAATAACATCGTAAACCGGGGGTCCACTGTATATATAAGTAGAACTATCATACATTGTAACATGCAATGTGCAAAGTAACCATGGTGATAAATAGTGAAATTCCATACGCTTTTGTGATTTCTCATATTATCAAGGATTAGTAAATATAATAGGAGAACAAAAGACTTGTAAGGCTGAGATTTCACGTCACATAGTAATACGTATATGTGTTGATTACCCAGGACAACCCAAAAAAAAAGGAGTCAGTGTCTTATTTTCATTGTCTTAGGACCGGTTAGTCGGACTTAAGTCCAACTAACCAATTTTCTTGGATCCCTCCATAAATATTACTTTGCTCTCTATATATATATTGTTCTGATTTCCGCAGGTGATGACTAAAACCCCCGGCATGTCATTTGGCCTGGAGGAGACAGAATTGGATTTGACATACGGAGAACGCTACAGAGGTGCCAAGTTGCCTGATGCATATGAGAGACTCATACTTGATGTTTTCTGTGGATCACAAATGCACTTTGTCAGGTATTATGAATAACGTCAATTTTGCTTCAAAAAAGATTAATAATTTAGTTATAGAATGCATCGGAATTAACCCTTAAACTGTCCAAACGTAGATCTACGTTTTTTCAACATTTGAAAGTATGTAAAAAAAGTAGATCTTTTTTTTTTTTTTTTACATTTGAAAATTTGAAAACGTGTAAAAAAAACTTTGATCTACGTTTTTTTTTTTATATATATTTGAAAATATATAAAAAAAAACATAGATCTACTTTTGGAGCACTACGCATATGAACGTAGATCTGCTTGGACAGTTTAGGGGTTAATAACAAAGTTTATAAGTGGATCCAAACGATGATAGATTATATGTGCATGCTAATTATACAACTCATCGGCATTATTAATAAGTTTTTAAGTGGATCCAAATGACGGATTATATGTGCATGCCAGTTACAGAAATCGTGGGCATGATCCATGCCTTCAACACTTAGTTGTATATCCTGACATGATCAGTTTGCCTCACTTGCCGTAGCCGCAGCAAGCAGCAACAAGGCTGCTCCTATATCTTGCCGTCCCCTGGGCCTATCCAAACTCCAGTGATGGCCACATTTGCAAGTACTGCTGCAACAACATGCAAGGAACCCATAGTGACATAAAAACTGATGGTGACGACAACGAAAGGACAAAATGACAAAAGGGGGACCGGCTTTAAAATACCAAAGACCTGCTCCCAGAGTAACCAACATAATTTTTTCCCCTCCAAAAAATAACTGCCCTCCATATAAACGCACCATGTTCAAGGGGAAGACAAATGCAGAAAACCTGATAACTAAACTCCAAGGAAAATGACAGGTCTGGGGACTTTAGGACTTTTTTTTCATGCCAAAAAAGGGAAAGAATTGACCTTTAAAAAACAGGGCGCCCCGGCATCCAACAGCGCTCTGTCAACGACAATATGATGTAAAATTCTCACTTTACTGGCGTTCATTGTTACAGTAACATTTTTCTGTACCCCCATATCCCGTACCAGTCAAACCCAAAGGGGGAAACACAGGAACACCCGTCAAATCAACAGTAAAAAAACTCCCAAAGGTTTAAGGGTCGGATATCCCTCGCCAGCGGGGAAAGAATGAATTTTAAACAGTCGGTTAATTTTTATATGACCTATATTCAGCTGCCTAGTGTACAGTGAGGAATCAAGCAGAAAACCCAAAATAACTATAACCCAAAGGAAAGTGGTTTGTCGTTACTCCCCCATGTTTTAAAAATGGCTGAACAGCAAACGGTCAGGATCAACAACACCACAACCCCCCCCAAAATAAAGGAATTGGGGGGGTTTTGGGGAAGGATAAAACCCTTTGATTAAACCCTTCGGGTCACCAGAATAAAAAGGGGTTAGAAGTAATTGGGAACCAGACTTGAAGTGGGGTGGAAGGGGATGTGTAATAAGGGGTTAACTGTGGGGGTTTTTTAATTTAAAGGGAAAAAAAAGTGAGCGGAAGAGGGTTTTTGGAAGAGGAAATTTTACTAAAAACTCAGTTGATTTTTTTAAAGCAGAACTAAGGTACTAGGGACGGGAAAAGGAAATAAATTTTATTGAAATGAGTTAAAAGACAAAAGAGGAAAATGGCGGGCTTAGGGGGCACGGCCTTTTTATTTTTCTTTTTTTTCCAATTCCTTTTTGAAGAAAGAAATCAGTTGGGGGCTGGAAAAGGTGAAGGGAGTAACACGCCCGGGGCAAAAAAGCCAACATTTCCTCCACCAAAAAGTAAATACACTATCCCCGAAGGGTATGGCAACACCGCTTTTCCCCAAAAAAAAATGGCAAAAGCCTTTTTGTGCGCTCTTAAGTGGTGAATCCAAAAAAATCCGGGACCTCAAAATTGTGAAGGGCAAAACAGACAGATAATGACGGTGATAAGAGGGCTCTAGCTGGGAATGATAAACCTTTAAACTCCATATGTAATGCATACATGGGTCAATGTAGACAATACGCCTTTTATCTCAAACCCAAAAAAGGTCAACACTGAAAATAAAGCCGATGAAAAACAGAAAAAGGCCCCTTTATGTAAAGGGGTTAGGGGGGGGTCATGTGGATGTAGTACAATTTTTAAGAAAAGGGTGCAAGAACTTTTTGTGTGTAAAATGCATTTTGGGCACAGTTACCCTTTAGCGTGATGACTTGTTTTCCTTTTTTTAAATTTACAAATGACCTTGCCATATATTGAGATTTTGTTTTTTTTATAAAAACGGGCCTTCACTTTATTCTTCAACGCAAGATCACTTTTTCCAAAATTTTGGCAAGATTCTAGCAAAAAAATTGGGGGGCAGTTATAACCATCTCTGAATTTTGGGTTGGTTGATACAGGACGACGACAGGTCAAAATAAAAGGGTTACAAATAAAACGCTTAGATAGGAAAACAAAAGGGTGGAGTAGTGCCTACATTGAAAGACTTGCTTAAAACCCCCAAGACCTGATTTAAATAAAAAAAAATGGAGATTCTAGGTTTGAAGGCGCTTCCCAGCCCAAACCCCATCTTAGTAAACTAGTTACCCCCTCCTACCCAGACCATTCTTAAAGATTTTCCAGATCTTGTGGGGGTTTAAAAAAAATTGGAGAAAAAACGGGGACTTCAACATTTTTTTCAGACAAAAAAAAGGGGCTATGCAAAGGAAAAAGCAAATCGGGATTTTTAACTCAACTAATTAAACACCAACCCAGATCACACAGTTCCAGCCACCCAATTGCCCAATACTTTGTAACCCGCTGAGAACATTATGCCCCAAAGGCTCTTTCCCACGGGTCTTGTATCATTTCTCATTTCCCCTGCCCAAAAACCACGGGATAGGATACCAACAGGACAAAAAAAAAATGAGTAAACTAAAAAGTAAGTAAAAAACCGGGTAAATGGGCTACACAATTGTGAGGGCCGAGAAAACGAGTTGCAGGGACGTAACATGCCGGGAAAAAAATTCAAAACAATGTTCACTATCTCCTTGAAAATATTGCTCATTAAAAAGGGGTTAGGGTTAGGATTAAAGGGAAAACGAACCCGGGATGACTACTGAGATATTAGATAATAGAAATTCAAGACCAGCTCTAAAAAGTTTTAAAGAAACAGACAGATTTTGCAGCACTAAAAAAATTTCCCCAAAGGGTGAGGAACAATACAGGAATTATAAAGGAGCAAAGGCAAAGCACTATTGCAAAAAAATTTGAAGAGTAAAAGCATAACCCCAGAAAGCTCGGGCAACAACTAAAAAGTTTGGGGGATAGCCATAAGCCAGTAGATAGGCTAACAATACTCACTATCGATAATGAGGGATGCCCCGAAACATCTAAGGGGGCAAAATTTTTTAATTCTACCAAAATCCGTTTATCAACACTAAAAAACACCACTCATCAAAAACCTTTAAACACAGACCCCGATAAGTTTCAAAAAAAAACTATCCAAAAAAGGGGTAACCCCAAACAGTTGCAACAGTAAGGGACTCATACTTTATAAAGAACTAAGCGGTAAACCCCCTAAAAAGGACAGGGCCCCGTAAAAAATCCCGTCTAAATTCCTAAAAGTGGTGCTTCTAACTGCAATCCCTTTGCCACATAATAAATCTATCAATCACCACTAATCCCTACCAGAGGGTCAAGGGGCCAAGTTACTCCACTTCAAAAAAAATAGTAGTCTGATTAACAACAAAAGGCCCGTTAGTATACCAGTATAATATCTTTAAAAATTTTAGAGAGGGGGGTGTTTCAAGATTAATACCTTAAAGGGGCCCCACTTTTCCATAGCTTCAATCGGGGCTTTAGAAGAACCTCTCAAACACCTCCCTTTTAATCTGTGGATTACCGAGAACAGAAATGTCCCAAAGGGGAACCCCATAGGTTGGTAACCTAACCTGCAAAAGGGCCCCCTTCGATACTGTCCCACAATATATTATGTAAGAAACTTCAAGCTTTCGGTTGGCGTTTGACTGGTTTTTCCTACCTTTGCAAAAAGACAAAAGTCAAAAAAACAAAACGGAAAACAAACCCCCCCCGATAACTGTGGGTTTTTCCCCAAGTAGTATTCGGTCCCTTATTTTTTTATGCTTTTTAATGATATCCTATCTGTCGTGCAAACTCCACTTATGCAATGACATGCCTTTAGTGTCGGGAAAGCCCACAGAAAATTTCTAATGTTTTAACACTGGAAATGGAGTCCTGCAGCAATGGTTAGTAACAACAAACTTCATTAAAACCCGGGAAAACTGAAGCCTTTTTCTTTGACCAACAAAACGGAAGGGTAAATAATTAAATGTTCAGTGAATGGGGGGCCATCACTTTGGGTTTTATCAGAAAATATCTGGGGTCCCCCCTTTGACCCTGCATGTCAGGGGAATTTTTAGGGGAACGTGTATAAAAAAAACGAATGCCGACTGAAGTTCCTTATAACAACACTGTCTACCTCTGAGGGTCGCAGGGCCCTTGCTACCCTTATACAAAGCCATATGGATTACGCTTGTTTCATGGTACTCTGCCTTTACAAAAAAACTGAAAATGACTGCAAATCACCAGAAAAAAATCGAAGTTTTATCCTGGGCTGGGGACCAAGAGAACCGTAGGCCGGGATGAATTACGCAGTTGGATAGCTGAATGTTGAAGACAGAGTAAACAAATGAAGCAAATATGTTTATAAAATTCTCCAAACAGTGTCCAAATTCTTGCTGTCAATTTGTCAAGGTTGGGAACCAAAGCAAACATGTAAATAGGGGGGAGACACAACTTTTTGTACCCACAGTCAGTGGCCAGGCTCAAACCCTTTTTTTTAGCAATAAAGGGTTTGGGAAAAGACTCCCGCACGTCAAAAACCATCAAGAGAACCCGTTTAAAAGAGTGCCAAAAGGGGTCTGATGAATGTAGCTACAGAAAGGGAGGGGAATGATTTTCTATTTTTTTCTAACATACATTAAATTTTTTCCCTTTTTCCAGAAAGACCCTCTATTATAATAGTCTTAATGACCCTCGATTTTATAGCTTAAAACCCTCTATTTTAGATATTTAATCCCC